AGCGACCAATGGAAATTCGATGATTGGAGAGACCATAACAGACAAGAACGACAACAATGGATGGATCGTCGCCGCACTGTTCTACGAGGAAATGTCATGGATGCCGAATGTAAACCAAGTAGAGAATACATGAGTTGGTATAGATCTGTGACCAATTTGTATCTATCACAAAATAGATACTTGTGGGACCCTCGAAACCAACCAACTTCATCAAACTTCCAAAACACCCCCTCCATGACTTATGACACCCAACCACCAATATTTAACACCCCACAACAAATATTTAACACCCCACAACAAATATTTAACACCCCATTCAACCCAAACCCAACACAACCACCTTATACCCCAAGCCAGCACTACAATCAACCTTACACATCATTTAACCCAAACCCCTTCAACATCCAACAACAAAACCCAACCTCATCATACACCCAATATAACCAATTCTCATTCTCTCAACCTACCCAACAAGAACATAACTACCAAACACCCCAACCACAATTTCCTTTTTACCCTTCACAAAACTTCACCCTTTCTCAAGACCAACATCCATACACACCCTACATGACTAACGCGGCGCCACCTATAAACCCACCAACTTGGAGTAACGAGGGTACGAGATTAAGTTATGGAAGTGCGGCAGCGATACCAGCTGACGACGATTTCAATGATGATTTGGTCGCTCAATTCATGAACCCTAACAATGATGCAGGACCATCTACGCCGACCCAAAACGCTGAGGTTGATCGTAGAAGGTCCACCAGAAATGTACAAGCTCCTGCCTGTGGAACCCACCAACGCTTACGTCGACCGGGTCGAAATTAGTTAAGGGTCAATAAAAATTGTAATGTACATATTAAATTTCAAAAATTAATAAATATTTATTTTAGTTCTTTTATTGTTATTTATTTTATAAATATTATTAAATATTTCTAATTCAGTTATAATTATTACTAATTAATTTAAATTAATTAAAACTAAATACATTATTCACACATCAATTATTATTATTAAATATTTCTAATTCAGTTATAATTATTACTAATTAATTTAAATTAATTAAAACTAAATACATTATTTCCACATCAATTATTATTATTACTAATTAAATTTAAATTAATTAAAACTAAGTATTTTAAAATACATTATTTCTAATTTAATTATTATTGTTAATAATTATTATAGTATAATAATAATTATTATTATTGTTATTAATAATAATAATAATAATAATAATAATTATTATTATTATTATTATTATTATTATTAATTATTATTATTATACTAAATAATAAAAAATAACATAAAACGAAAAGAAAAAAAAAACCAGTTACCCTCAACCGCCCATTGAAAGGGCGGGTGTCTTTAAAACACAACATGACCGCCCATTGAAAGGGCGGCAGTGCCTTACCTTTGTTTGAAATCATGGCATTTTGGTATATAGTTTCAAACGTGTGGCATTATGGTATTTTATTTGTAAAAAAGTGGCATTAGGGAAAAAAATTCTCGTAGCCATGCCTAACCTTGATGTGATTTAGGTTGAGTCATGATTCTATCATGATGATTGACTTTGTTCAAAAGATTGTTTTAAGCATAATTTTTTTTCAAAGTGATGCCAATACATAATACTGGGAAAGTACTCAATTACGCCTCTAATTAAAAAAAAAAAAAAAAAAAACTACCCAAAATTCCAAAGGGTACCGTAAAATCACTTTAAACCTTCCATGATAAATACTACATGAAAAATATTAATAAATTCTTCTTTATAATGATATTCCACTTGATCTCGAATATAAGCAATAAAAAAAAATTAATAATTTTAAATATAAGTAAATACCACCTATAATTATTACATTTAATATTATTTTTTCAAATATACTCTTACTTTTTTTCACATTTCTATATTTTGAACACATTTAAAGGAAAAAAATATAGGTAAAATTAAAAAGAGTGTAAGATTTAAATGCATTTAAACATTTTTTTAAAGAGTGATTTTTTTAAAAAAATATGATGGAGTATTTCATATGATAACCATTATAAAAAAATATTAATTTTTTTAATTTATTAAATAAGTGCCTTATTTTATCTCAAATATAAATTAAATACAATAATTATTTAATAAATTGAAAAATATTTATAAACACATCAACAATAATTAATGTATTTAATACCATAACCACGACCAAATATCTTAATCATTGTGTTTTTTCAAAACGATCTTATTATTCTTTTGATGTGCATGATAAGAGACCTGATAAGATATCTGTATCATATCTTATCTCAATTCAGTGTTTGATAATACAATATAATATGATAAGTTAATCTTGAAAGTTATCAATATCATGTCTCACTAGTTTAAATTTTATCATGAATATGAGCTGGGTTAGAATCCGGAAGGATAAGATAATAAAATAATTTATAAATTTACTTCTATAAAATATAATTTAAAATAAAATATTAAATATGATAAAATATAAATAAAGATTAATTTGATATTCAATTAAAAAATATTAATAAATAGTTTTTAAAAAATATGTATGATTTATCATAAGGACAATTTTATAACTTTATATAAAAAAATTAAAATCTAATAAATTGAAAATATTAATAATTAATATAATTTTAAAAATATAAATTTTAATTTTAATTTTTATTAAATATTAACTTTGACACCAAATCTAAATCGTTCAATAATATTTAATATACAAATATTAAAAAAATAAAAAGTTTGGAAGACGCTTTTCTTCAATATCTTCTTCCTATTGTTCAATCTCAATTTTCATCTACATCATTCTCCATACCAGTCAATCTCAATTTATTATCATTCTTGGTTCCAGTTTTTTGATAATTTTCAGTATGTCTTCTCATGGAATTGATTCAATCCATCCAATGAAAAAGTGGATCTTACAATTGAAATCATTCTTCTGTGAATTGTTGATAAATCATAGGTTTGCTTTTTCATCAATTTATTTTGTTCTTTTTTCTGCAAATTAACCTTATTTTATCATGTTGATAAATGTAATAACCAAATCAAAATTTTAATCTTCTATATAAATATGGAAAAATTGAATTTTGTATGTAATATATGTTTTTGGGTTGGTTTTTCATCAATTTTTTTTCTTGATGGAAATAATAATTCATTGGTATTTTATTTATTTTCAAGAATCCCATGTGATTATGTTCGGTCTCTTACACTCAATCAAATTCATATATAATGTTACATTTACACATTCTCCTCCAAAACTAAACTAGTGTAAAATGAATTAATTTAGGACTTGAAAATGTATAAAATTATTTGATATGATATAAAAGATATTCAAATTTATATATAAATTTAGTATAATATAAAATGTATTTATATACATATTTAAATTTGAAATTAACAATGATATATATAAATTCAATTATATTAAAATACAAAGAAAAAAAGGAACTCGTTAGATAAAAAAGAATATTTAATATTTAAAAATAAGAATTTTATCTTTCAAATTAAGGTAATTATTAATTAATATAAAATTGTATTGGGCTAATAGTCACCGTGAAATAGAAAATTTATTTGATACAATGTAAATGTATTTATATAGATATGTAAATTTGAAATTAGTTACTTAATTTTAAAATGAAAAATATATATATATAAACTCAATTGTATCACATAATTATGCAAAAAGGAAAAAATGACTCGTGAGATAAAGAAAGTTATTTTGAAATAAAGATTTTGTCTTTCAAATCAAGACAAATTGTTGATAAAAATAAAATAGAAATTGTACTGAGAATAACCCGTGAAATAAAAAAAAATTGATATGATATAAAATATATTTAGATACAAATGCAAAATTTAAAATGATTTACTTAATTGTAAAATAAACAATAATCATATAAATTTAATTGTATCAAAAGAAGAAAAAAAATAAAAATAATTGTTGATTAAAATAAAATATATGTGTTGAAAGTGACCCGTGAGATAAATAAATTTTTAATTTTATTAAAATTAAAAAAAAATTGATTAATAGTAGTTTTAGTGATAATAAATAGATAGAAAAAAATTAAAATGAAAGGGAGAAAGTGTGGGAAAAAGGAATGTGAGAAAATTTTGAAATTTAAATGAAAAGAGAAAATGAGTGCCACTTGTCATGTTGTAGTAGTAGATGAGAATAAAAAAAAAAGTAAATATCAATTTATTACTAAAATGTCTTTTTGGTAGTGTAAATAATTTGTGATGAAAGAGTAATTTAAGGAGTTCATACAATTGAATTTGTATATATAGATAGTAGACTAAACTCTTACCTATGATTCAAATAGATAGATTAGCTTCGTCTTCACTTATTTTTAGCTTGCAACTTCTTCGATTATGGTCATGTTCTCCTGTAATTAACATGATCGTTGTTTTTTTAGGAGTTGATTTATTGACAAATCTATGCTACTTTTAATTCGTTTTGAATAAGAGACTGGAAAATTATCATTTTGTCTTCTTTTAGTTTGTGATTCTACTTGATCTCTAATAGTTTATTCAAACTCTTCTTTTATAATCGAGGAAACCCAAATCTACACTCAAACCCAGTCAAAACAGATTTTCTCCATTAAACTCAAGATGAGTTTGAATGAGTACCCGCGAATCTGCGTTTTATTGCCATGTCTAATCAAAGTGTTTTTCAAATTTGTTCACTAATGTAGTCATGGTTTGATGTGTTTTTGTGTAAATTTAAAATTAAATACATAAACTTTTTTTTATATTTAAAATAGATTATTGTTAATTAAAGCTTGTCATAATCATAATGAAAGTGAGCACTTCTAGTTTTCTTTAAATGTCAACGTCACAGTGTCCGAAGTCATTTAATTTTTCCCGCTGAACCCGCTTCCTGATCACAACCCCCAACTCCAACTCTCTCTCCCACTTCTCATTAACACTTTCTCTTTCTAATTCCGCACCCACAAACACTTCAATTTTCATAATAATCACACAATTTTAAACTCAACCACATTCTCCTTTCTCTCTCATGTCCACCACAGCTCCACCACCATCCACCACCGTCATCACCACCACCACCGGCGTAGGTCTCGGCTACGGCATCGCAATTGCCGTAAGCATCCTCGTCCTCATCTCAACCATCATGCTCGCTTCCTACATTTGCGTCCGGTTAAAATCCCAAGGCCGTCGCAACTCCTTCCATCTCAACCGCGGAAATGTAACTATAAATCAAAATTATATTAACGGTTCCGCGGTTCAGCCCGGGCCGTTTATCTTGGGCCTAGAAAAGCCCGTGATCGAAACCTACCCGAAGATTATACTCGGAGAGAGTCTGCGATTGCCGAAACCGAACGAAGGCCCGTGTTCGATCTGTTTGGGTGAATATCTTCCGAAAGAAACGATACGGTGTGTTCCGGATTGTCAGCATTGTTTTCATGCGGAGTGTGTTGATGAGTGGCTTCGGATGAGTGCCACGTGTCCGCTGTGTCGGAACTCTCCTGCGCCGTCGCCGGTGGCTACGCCGCTGTCGGAGCTTGTTCCTCTGGCTTTTCATGCTAGGTGATGATTCCTCATTTTTGTAATTTTTTTAATTCTCTGTACGAAAATCACATGGGCTATACTTCAGATTTTCTGCAATTGGTTGGAAAAATTATAATGCAACATTGTAGAAATTTAATGCAGGCATCGTGACATTTTAATATAACATCACAAATATGAAAAATAAAATAATATTACCTAATTGAAATTTTTCATGAATTAATGAAGCTTTGTGTAGAATACATAATAGAATTTTGATGAGAATACTTAAAGCTCAAGTTATGCTGTGATGTGAATAATTGTTGACAAGCGAAATGATAAAAGATTTAAGTCGGTTTGTTTAGTTTTAAAAAATTAGTTTTTAAAATTTTAAAACTTAAAAACAAATTATTGATAAGTTAAAAAAAAAGTACACACAAATTAGAAAAAAGAAACACATATTTTTATTAAATTATCTCTTACCAAATTTTGAGAATAGTAAAAATAATATTAATTAAAAATGATTATTTATTTTAAAGTACTTTTATTTTTCAAATGAGTAATTAATTATTAGGAGAGTGTAGTCTAACAGCGGTTTTAATCATATTAATAAAAGAACTGATTTAATATATTTTTATTGAATAATGATGCTCTTGATTTCTCTCTTTTTATTTTCTTTATTATTATAATTTTAAGGCATATTTTAAATTTAATATATAAAATGTCGCATAATTATATTTATATTACCAAAATATTGGTAAAAGAAAAAATAGAGAGAATTTTGACTCGTTTTTGTGATACTAATATTTTTATATTTTTGTTAAATATAAATTATATTGTTAAAAAAATACTTCAAAAATACTTTGGGATTAATCTTTGAGAAGGATAAGCTTAATGAAACAAATTTTATAATACTGAAATTTAAGGATTGTCTTCAAACACGATGCTCTAAAAGTCAGGTACATCATGCATCATGAGTCTCTTTTAGAAGAGGAATCATCAACTTCTACTTTTAAGGCTTAAAAATATGCTTATTATTCTGGGTCAGACATACCTCCCTGAACCCAACCACATCTCCATTAGTCTGACCATTAAGAGACGGAACACCCCAAATTCAAACTTACCATCTTGTCATTCAATCGACTTCTAAAATATTCTCCAGACCACTGGAGTATCATGTGCTCAGCTACAAGATATCCATGCCCTAAGCATATCCAACGACCTTCCACTTTTTGCGTCTGAAAGATAGTGAGACAGTTATTCATCTTCCCTTATATATACGGGATGATGTCATTTCAAGTCACAAGTTTCAAACACAATTTGAATAATCTCTCATTATTCACTTATTGACTTGAATGTCAGATTGCTTACCTTGTAGGTACACCCCCACTTCATCATATTGAAAGCTCTCATTCGTCGTAGCTTTTACAATTCTTCACATTTCTAGTTCCGGAACAGAACAATGGCGTCGTCTATAGGAATTGACTTCTAACTCCTGCATATTCTACGTTCTCTATCTTTACACTTAGTGTTGAATTTCTTCAACCTTTAAACAAGAGATCTAGTGAATTAAACATGAAACTCAATCACGTACGATTAAATCGAATTCAACACCGATAAAGACATACCGATTATCCAGATCTTTGGTTGTCAATCTGAAGAAATGGGTGGATTAAGAGTTACTCGTTCTGCCACCTCGCGCGAAGCCACTCTAGCGGCTGCATGTGCAGCAACGACAACCGCCAGTCGACGGAACAAAAATCCTCCTTTTTTGAAACGGATTTCGGTATTGACGCTCCTTAGCAACCAGATTTAGTCGTTCCTCCACCGAGATCAAGAACAGTCCAACCGTTGTCTCTTAGAGTTCTGCCTCCGCTTCATATGGAGTTGTATGTGATGTCACATGATATCGACATTCTCGAGGAAAATATTGGCTCTCAAGGCATGAACGATTCGATCAACCGTATTTACAACATCATTCAACAATAAATCTCAAAAACGGTAGAAGAAAGGTTCCTTAGTTCGGAAGAAATCCTCCACAATGCTAAACCGCGAGTGAATTTAGTGCAAGAAGCCGTCTTTAGAAGAAATCTCTCTGCACATCCGGAGTCTTCCACAGCGAGAAAGAGAAAAGTCCATAAATCAAGGGAGCACTCTAAAGGCGGAAATCATAACTCTTCTTCTCAGAGTCCGAATGGAGATCGAGGTAGTTATGTTTCATCCCAAAATCGTGATGAATATCAACTGATTCGGGTACAACCTAAGCATCTTTTATGTTCCCGAATTTTGAAAAGAAAGATCCCTAAATCAATGCAAAAGGCTCCTAACTTGGGAGAATACGGTGGAAAAGGAGATATCAACGAATACGTGCAACGTGTCAACGAATAGATAAACTACTATGGAGCCGACGAAGCTTACAAATGCAAATTATTTGCAATGACGTTGGTCGAACCGGCTAGATTATGGTTCGCCTTTTTGACGGTTGCATCAAATCATGGACAAATTTTTGTAATCAACTTACCATAAATTTCAATGCTTAGAAAAGACAACCAATTACTATAGTCGCCTTTAGTAACATCAAGCAGGGACAAAGAGAGAGTTTACGGTCATACATCAAACACTTCACTCAAGTCTCAATAGAAGTGGAAGGAACAGAAGAATCTCACTAATGTTGGATCTTCGAAAATGGCTCTTCTACGATCATCCTTTCTGCACCAAACTCAAATATGAAATTGAGGCATTGATTAAGAGAGGTCGGTTATCCAAATATGTCACAAGCGATAATCAAAACTGTGACACCCTATTTTCACGACTCAACATTTAATAAAATAATCAAATTTAACTGAACAAATAGAGTGTCACTCGTGCTTCACCATAACATAAAAGAAGCATAAATAAAACTTTTAGAAATAAGCAGTGGAAAACTAATAAGTTTAACATATAAATCTCAACAACAATGAATGAGAAAGTAGTTCAACAATCCTCAAAAGAAATAAGACATGCAACAAAAGAAAACATAGAACAATTTGTTCCCTAGTGTTACTTATCAGAGTGACTCCACTAAGACCCAAACAATAAATAAATAAAGAGGTATAACACCATTCTCTAGCATCAAGCATCTACTTTTGCACCAAATCATCTGTACCTCAGAGGAGCACATGCGTAACAACAAACAGAAAGGGGTGAGAATATGCTCAAATAAATTAAAGATACAAAACACAACACAAATAGTATCATATAAACACAATCACCAACACATAATCATCACACAACAACACACGTATTCATCATTCACCCATATCACCAAATGATCACATGTTCATTTACAACATCAAACAATCATAATGATAACTCGGTCACAAATGCAGGTATATATGAAAATACATCCTCAACTCAACTCTAAATGCAAAATGCGATACCGACTCTTTGGATATCAGGTGTATGTTATTGATATTCTCTCAAAATCTCTCCCGACCCCACCACTGGACCAGAACACACAAAATTGTTATTGATTTGTCACTATAGAATCAATAATGCTTCACTGATTACCATTTATGAAATGCAAGTACTCGCTCCCAATTCCACCACTAAACCAGAGCACACCAAATCATTACTCACCATTAAATCAAAAATGCTTCATTGTTCCCATCATAAGAGGACCCGCTACTCCCTCCCGATTCCACCACTGAACTAGAGCACACCATCGAACTGAAGTTCACATAAAAATGATGCATGCAAAATGCACAATTATGCAAAATAAGGCCGCCAACACAACACAACATATTTATGCTTACATTATGATTCTCCATTGCATAATTTACACAAGCATGACAATAACATACATATTCACATAACATATTAATATTTATGCACAACAATAATTCACCAATCATAATTATGCAATTTATTACAATACTTCACATAATTATACACGAAATTCTCAACAATCATTCATGTATCGGCATCAACATCAACATCAACATTAACATCAACATCACTCCTAGTGAGATATTCATCAATTCAAATGATCACAACAATTAAAAGTTATCCCATCACCATTAACCATCAAATAATATTACACCTTAAGTAAAATAATTTATTCACACCCTTAAATGAATATTTAGTCTCTTAGGGCATCACCATGAGATGGTGTTATGTGTTATCTTTCCAACGCTTCAAACCGCGCCTCAAATGAATTCAAGAAACTCAAGCTATAATAAAAATCGTATTTGAAACCAAATCAGTCTGGTTGTGACAGGTGAATAGTCAAAAAGATGACGAAGGTCAGCTCACTTGACGCAATGACAAACAGCCTGTCACAAGGGAGACGGTTGTGACCGCTCTAGAATGCAAAACTAATGTAAAATACAGAATTCTGCATTTTTTCACCATTTTGAAGCCTTCCGGATCTCCGATTTCGATTTCGTAAAAAGCCAATCGCTCAGAATAATTCATACATCAATTATAACACATTAAACATGTTAATTTACCACAAATTAACATATAATTTCACCAATTAATCATGATTCAAAATTATTCTCATGAAATCAACAACACCTTAATAACAACAACAACATATAAATTTCATATTCATTTATCGCATACAAATTCAGCATAACACGATACATAAACTTTATATAAAAATTCCTAATCATAATATATTCATCACAATTTCATTATCAAGAACATCACACACATCAACCATGACCAAAAGGAGAAAAATCTATAGAAGGGTAAGGATCCCTCACTACTCTTCATGCATTTGACACCTATTATTATAGTAGTTATCTCTCCTAATTTAATTTTCCAGCAAAGCAAGCAACCTTCTAGGCTATGAAATCTCATTCTCCCTCAAACCCTTGATTGCCTTTTTTCTCTAAAAAAATTTTTTCTCCAAAATTTCACGTACTGTAAAACTTGACCTACATTATTCTATATCAATTTAGATTAACCTAATTTTACACTTTTGATAATTGCTCTATGACCCAATTTAATATTATTCTCTCACCACATTACCACATATTTTTCTTATTTCTAATTTTCACCTAAACTCTTCAACTTCCTATTTTTCTTTATTATTTTAATAATTTAAAATAATTAAAATTCTATTTAAGTCTCAATATTCTCAAAAATTTCCCCAAAACCATTAAACACACCAATAATTGAATAAACATCAATCTTAATTCAATTAAAAATAAACATACACAAATCGGGGTGTTACAGGGACCGAGAAGAATCTCCGAAGACCAAATCTCTCGCAAAAATTTATGAATCTGACCCCGGCGACGAAAAGGGAGAAACCAGGAAGAACAAACACCCATATATCGCCGCCATCACTGGCAGAGCACCTCATGCAAATCTTCCTTCTAAAGAGATGGTCAAGAAGGAAATCGCAGAGATGATGGCCATCTACAAGAGTGGTGGTAACTCGTTGTCCAAAATTCTCGATCGCCCAGGCTGGAGTTCCGAGACCCATAAAAGGTGTGTGTGTGGGGGGGGGGGGCATTTCAAAAAAGCCATTTCCTTTAGAAACTATGACCACTGTGGGATAATTCGATGTTTCACGAATTCTGATTGACGGAGGAAGCTCGTGTGATATCCTCTATTTGTCATTGTTCGAAAAAATTGGCTTAGACCGAGGAGGCCTAATACCATATGACAAATTATATTTACATGGGTTTAATGGGACTACCCTTCTTCCCTGGGGATATACGGAGTTAATAGTATATGTGGGGAAGATAGAAACATTTGGTATATTATCACCCAGTTCCTAGTTATCTCGTGCATAAGTCTTTATAACTGCATCTTAGGTAGACCTTTTACTACGACATTGCATGTCGTAGCTTCACTTGTGAACCTAAATCTCAAATACCACAACCTTCATGGAGAGCCACTGTCTTGCACACCAATCTCGAAGCATCCAAAAAGATACACAATGCACTTCGGTGGGATCAAGGGGAAAACACGACTATGGAGATTAACATGACTTCCCTCATACGACAACTCCAAATTCTGGACATCCGCACTTCCTAATGTGGCTGAATGAAGAGAATCTACTCATGTGAAATAAATGGCAAAATGACTACTTGTAATGACGAAATCGGGGTACGACCAATGTGGTTGACACCCGACATAAAGAATTTAGGGGTGCTATTGGATGCACTTTTACGGCTGAGTACATCAATCAATTCCCAACAGCGCCTTACATGCCTCTAGAGTTCATGTTTGATGTTGGATACACTTGTACCCTTGACTACAACAATCAATTCTCGACAGCGCATTCCACGCCTCTAAAGTTTATGAGTGTTGTCAGATACACTTGTATGCCCGACTACAATAATTAATTTTCAATAGAGCCTTGCACACTTCCAGAGTTCAAGGGAGCTGTCGGATATGCTATGCATGTCTGACTACAACAACCAATTCCTCTTGCGGTGCTATCGGGGATGCTTTTCACTTTCAAATACATCATTCAAATATCCATTATAAAAGAAATACACACATTTACATGTAGTTGTGACACCCCCTTTAGATCTAGACAATCCAAAGGCGAGAGATGTGGATTCTGGAGACGTCCACCTCAATTTGAGCTTTACCTCGGGGGCAGGGAGAAAGGTCTTCTACCTTTTGCCATGAATGATCCTTTGTGACGTGGAGCGCAGTTCAAAGCATGACTGCATCTAGCCGGTTTCATGCTCTCTTTTTATGCAGAATCGAAGCATGACCACATTTAGCTAGACCAATATATCATGAATAAAATGCTCACGTCTTTATGCGACATACTCATAAGTAAGTCAGTTGAACCTAGCTTCATGAAAGATTTAAAAGCTCAAAATCAAACCCCGACGCTTTCCCGCTTTCATAAGATGGAATGTCACAATTAAAATAACACGATATAAACCAACATTGTTTACGATCCAGGATACAAAACTCGAAATTTTTTTAACACCACTTGCCTAGATAAACTGGTAACAACTCAAGATAATTCACATTTTAATATTCCCCCTCTAATAACTTTCATGGCAAAAGAAAGCCTTAATAAATTGGAGGTATATAAACAAACTACGACACCATATGGCAGAATTATATCTGCAATAGAACAAATATACTTTGAACATGAACGAGGAAGAACTTCACTAACTGCAGAAATAAAGTATAATTACATACACTCTAGAGGAGTGTACCAAAACAAAAGCATGCAGACAGACACAAAATCCTATTCAAGAATAGAGACAATTCTACCGTCTTGGAGAGAGACAAATAATACATGATGTGTTAAAGGTAAAGTTTAAAGAAAACAAAGAAAATTTTTTATTATGCGCAATCTTTAAAACTTAGTCATATAAATGCCATAATCGTGCATATTAAATGGAAAAAGAAATCCACCTAACTGAATTACAACAAATGTACCATAGAAATATGCTTATTGGAATACATGGAAGTAAAAGAATGTAAATGAACATAAATGTATGTAGACTCAATTTTGAAGAAGTAAAATCCATAAAAAAATTCATCCTGCCCAAATCACTTCCTCCTTCTTTTGGTTCTAAATAAGAAATCCATCATAAACAAATAAGACAGAAATCGAAGTCATGTAACAAAGAACCAACAAATAATAAATTGAGTTTAAATGCACAAATATATAACACATTCTTTAAAGATAGGTTAGGTGCTTACACTTATTTCAAAAATTGACACTCTAATACCATTTGGCAAGATAGCAAAATTTGAATTTTAAAATTAAATATTTTTTTTATAAATAAATTTTAACTTTTTAAAATTTATTAATTAAATAATATATTCGGATAATATATAAATAAGATACATCAATTATTAATAAATTTAAAAATATTAAAATTTGTTTATGAAAAAGAGAATGGAGGGTAGATAAAATTTGGAATTATAATAAAAGTTAGGGTAAAATTAATCATCTCTTTCTCACTCCTCATTTTTTTTATCGTGTTTTAATAAAAGTTAGGGTAAAATTAATCATCTCTTTCTCTATAGCCTCACTTCAATCTTACAACTACTATTTTCTCTGTCTCCATCTCGCTCCATCTTCTCCGAGTTAACTCACTCACCTAGATAAGGTACTCTCTCAACTCGTTCTTGTTTACGCGTCTTTCTTTTTCGCACTTTTCATGTCGATGATGAATTGCACCCAATCTTGTTTAATTGAATTTGTTGAAACAATTATTATACTCAAATTGTTATATAGTTACCGCATTTCCTCATTATTGTATATAATTTATATGGTTAACTATTGATTTTTCTAAGAAAAGAAGAGGGATAAATCTCTAATTGTCAAATATGCATCATTCTCGTGATTTTTGACGCTTCTGATCGAAGATGTGTCCGGTGTCTGACACCTCGGGCTTGACACTGCACTGACACACGTGGATAAATTTGAGTATTACACAATTTGTTTTGGTGTCAGTGTTGTGTCTGGTGCCGGGCAAGGATTCTCTAACTTTAAGTAAGTTTAGGCAAAAATTAGATGAAATAAGAGAAACGGTGGTGTTTATTTTGGAGGGTAAAAGGAGTGAGAGAAAGTAAATTAAGAGAGGTATAGAGAGAAAGTTAGAGAAAGGTAGGGAAATGGAAGTTAGAGGATGGTGTCAATGTATGTCAGTGTTTTGATAGATTGTATCTATCTCATTTGAGACGCTGCTTTTGTTTTAAAACTAGCTGTGTTTGGAAATGCGGTGGAAATGCGAGGGCACATGTTAAGCATGATATGATGCTATTAGTTGGGGTTTGAGAATTGAGACAGCCGTGTGGTGACGAGACGTCGTGAATCTTCCACTTTCAAAACACACTATTTTTATGGTTATCTATATCACTGTTGCTGTCCTGTTCTATCTATGGCCTGGGTTATTTGCATGTCCTTCTTAAGTTCATTTGTTTTTATGGTTATCTTATTCCTCTGACAATATTGCTTGGTCAAATTATATACCCGAAACTAGAAAATATATTGTTTCTTTAAAACCTTTTTGGTCAAATTATTCACTGCTCGCTTTGAATTGTTGTATCAGAAAGAAACAAGCCGGTTTGGATTTTGGAGTCGCACTCAACTCAACGCAGCTGACCGGAAGACTCTGCCTGAGTACATTTCCGGCTACCTGAAACTGAATTACGCCGTAGCAGAGAGATTGCACGATAAAGCAAGACGTGCAATTGACAATATAGGTACTAACTTGTATTTGTGATAGCGAGAGATTGTGAAAGAGTACCATACGTTCTTTCCCGTTGATGACGACTCTCCTTAAACCTTTCACCTACTGAAGATTTAGAAATTATCATTATGATTACTATTGTGGTTTTATTTCTAATTTAACGATGTATTCTCACAGGAACTGATATGTTTCGTGTTATAAACTTGTACTGTACTTCATTGGACTGAATTATGGTTTTGTTAATCAGGAGGATTTGTTATTGAGTGTCCGTCTATCTGAGAAACATGTTGAAGCAAGCAATTGGTAGAATTTGCAGCAGAACCAATGTTTATTCTTGTGAAGGAAACAGAGTTTTGCCTTGGATATATGCGCCTTCCTGTTTTTTCCACAATGGACAGGTAATGTCTCCAATTCTTCATTTTAAAACTTAGATTATTTATTTACTTATGTTACTCGAATTTCTTATTTATCTGTTTACTAAAATAGTTGATTTTGGCTGCTTTACGATTTAAGTTAGTGACTCTGAGTATGTATATGTTTTGACAAGGTCTATAGTTCAATTGAAATTTGAGTTGAAAATAAGTTGTAATGAACACTTTATTTCCATTTTGATGCAAGTTATGTAGAGTTATCAAAACGAGCCGGTTTGGGTCACTCAGGTCGCCATGTGTTGCTGGTTGAATGGGTTGGCTCAACACAGACTGAGGTTCTAGCAGTGAGTTAGGAATATACCAACCAGTGTTACTGACGGCGGTCCATGGCGAGAGCCAAAATCCCGCCATACCGTCGTATGCGGCACCGTTATAGTGTATTATGACGGAAAAACCCGCAATATCGGCCGGTATTTACCATTGTTGCGAGCCCAAAAACTGCCATGTATATCCGGCTAAGCGGCCATGGCACCACTATTTGATAACACTGATACCGACTCAGCTCAAACCATCCCAGATTGGTGGGTTGTCTCACCTAACTTTCCATAAAAAGGCCAAAAAACTAGAAAATTGGGTTTTATTTTTTTTAATGGGAGGGTTGCCCTAGCTTGAACTAGGGGTAACCCACCTCAGCCTAAGGGTTTGGTGGGCCGACTTACAATGACAGAGGGTCTTGGTGACCTATTCTGCAATCCAACTCACTTATAGGTTTGTTTGGCTTATGGGTCAAGACAGCTCTAGTATGATAGGCTTAATGTTTTTAACTGAAATAGTTCATTTCATAGACAAATCAGAGAATCAAATTTAGAGTACTGGAACAAAGTAGGAAATCCCGAAGCTTATATAACTGGACAGGGTTAAATTGGCATGTTGATTTGGTGAATTGTGGTAATTAAAATAATTTTGAAGCCTTTTGAATGTTTGATGATTGCACATTATTTTCTATTTTGTGACAAATCCATAGACTAGTTATTTCACAGTTTTCCCCCCTTTTTAGTAACCATTGTGGTGATTGCTTTTAAAAGATTTTAAGGAAGAGCCGAGTAACATTTTGTTTGCAAAGCTATTGCTTTATGGATTAGATGATCCTACACATACTTCTACAGTTCTACCTAATATTGTTATTCATCTCAAAACAATGCATTTCAATATGGTAGTGGCACTTTGTAACTCCTACTTTGTTGTTATCTATGTGTGAAGTTATTCTTACAAGAGTCGATGTATGTTTTATCGGTTCAATGTTGAAACTAAGTTGGTTTCGGTCTTGGACTCTTGGTGGGTCTTCCGGGGCAAACTCACTTAAGCTTTTATTTTTACAAAAGTTGACATTAGAAATCAATATTAGCTCAGATGAAGATATATGGAGTCCTAGTAAGCATCAAATTTGAGTTTGAGGTGAATCATATATGAGAAATTGATACTCATTTTAGTTCATCTCTGTTACACAGGCAAATATGGCACCTAGAAGCTTTTTTGGGGTAGAGGACTTCGTCGATGATGACAACAGCCGGCCTTATACATACCAAAAAGGGAAGAAGTCAAAGAATCCAAACAAACACATATCATTCAAACAAAGAACAGTTGCATACATGGAGCCTTTTACACTTGACGTGTTTATCTCAAAACGTTTTGTATCTGCTTCACTCACTCATAGAGTAACAAGCAAACAGGTTGCAGTTGCAGGTACCAACTCCAAGGACATTAAAGCTGTTCTTAGATCTCGATCAGACATACCAGCGTGCATTGCCATTGGTCGGATTTTAGCTGAACGAGCAATGGAAGCTGATGTTTACACTGCTTCATATACTCCAAGGGAACGAGATAAGTTTGAAGGGAAAATCAGAGCTGTTGTTCAATCACTCATCGATAATGGGATTGATCTCAAGGTTTATCTTGATTGAGTCTCGCACAATCTTTTAAAGCAAACACTACCAGCCAGTTAAGTTATTTAGATTCTGGTTGTGTTTCATGTATGTCCATGTAGCTTGCTAATTATAAATTGATATATCACAACAAATGCAAATTTTCAAATTTAATTTTCCGTAGTTCCTTGGGATACACTCCACTTAATATTTGGATTGGACTTTGTGTATTTGTGGTAGTCATAAAATTTTCATTCTAGTCATGAAATCTTTTGTATTAATCACAAAAGTATACATGGTGGCTTCAAAATTTGAGTTTGGTGCAGGTTGAAATTTTTGCAAGAGCATGTGTAACACCAAGAGAGTTTGCATGTCTATCTTGTTGAACTCTTCTTGATATCTCCATGATAAGTTTAGATGATTAATTCATCATAGGGTGTATGTGTTGGATTGTTCATATCCTTGGCTCTATGGATATTCCTTACAGACATGTTCTCTTCGTATTAAACACGTCATATAGAATTTGCAGTAGCATACACTGCTGCTTGTTTTTGCTTCCCCATCCAAGTTCATGGTCTCAACCAGGGGTGGACAATCGGTCAAATTGGGCGGGTTCGGGCCTAAAAGTGACATCCTTCCCAAAGCCACAGTCGAACAAACTAGGTTCGTTTCTGCCTATTTCTCAAATCGATTTTGATGGGTTGGATTAGCACGAGTTACGGGTTATTTCGGTCTGTTTATTTAAATTATTGAGCTTATCCAATTTTAGGCTCAATGACATTATTTGATCTTGGAAAAAACTAATTTGTTCTTAAATTGAATTTCAAAATTTAAATTTAAAAATATGTCAGAACATATAAATTGGGCAGCATTAAATGATATATAATATTCTTATACATTTTATTTTCCTTGCTGATTAGAAAAAAATTCACGCTTAAATTTAATTGCAAATTTTATTATAGTTACAATTTAAATTAATTATTTAATAAATAAGTTTAAATTACATTTTGAAAATTCTAAATTGATATAAAAAATTAATATCCTATCATGTCAACGGTTTGCAAAAACAAAAATGTAATATTTATTTGGGTTGATTTGGATACGTGTGGGTCTATCTAAATGAATCGAATCCACCCATTTAAATTCATTTGAAACTGAGGTTTTGGCTAGATGACTCGCCAACTCGTTTTAACGCAGCTCAATTGGGTTTCAAATTTGATTATTGTGGGTTGAACAATTGGGTTTCAAATTTGATTATTGTGGGTTGAACAATTGGGTTTCAAATTTGATTATTGTGGGTTGAACAGGTTTGTAGTGTATTGTCCAACCATAGTCTCAACATAGCAACATTGTTGAGTTATGGTTTGTAGTTTATTGTCCAACCATAGTCTCAACATAGCAACATTGCATCGTCATAACTCAACGAAAGTAATAGGAGATTAGCAAGGAAGAACTCATCCTTCTTTACCTTCATTATATTTCCCACCTTGAGATTCTTCCACTATGTATATTCGAAATTTCCATCACCTTTGTGAAATAGGAGATCAACGAGGAAGAACTCATCCTTCTTTACCTTCATTATATTCCTCACCTTGAGATTCTTCCACTCAGGATATTCAAAATTCTCATAACTCGACGAAAGTAATAGGAGATCAGCAGGGAAGAACTCATCCTTCTTTACCTTCACTATATTTTTGTTACCTCGTATTTTCGACACTGGTGATAAACGTGAGAATTCAAGATCAAATATGGCTATGGCAAGGATTTAAGGTTTCACCCATAGTCAAAATGGTCACTTTTGACCAAAAGACCACTTAACCATTTGACGAGAATTTCCTGTCTAAGGAGGTTTGAAAACCTAGTCGAGAGGTCCATGGAAGACCCTGGTTGAGTTAAGAGACTTAGTGAAATTTGGGGTTTTTAGTTGACGCGACTATTGTGTTTTTATCGAAGAGATCATACAACTATTCAAGGACACGTGGGAACCTGTCAAAGATGAATGATACATGAAGACGAAGACGTATCAAGTTTTGCTAAGTCGGTCGTTGTAGACGATTATATTAGGACTAGTATATAAACAGTGATTGTTTATGGTTTTAAAGGTTCGCAATTTTACACATTACACACTCAAAGTATCCAACTGTGAAAGTGAGAAACGAGTTTTCAATGTATGTACTTGCGTTCCATTTATAAAGTTATTTTTTTCCCTTTAATTATTCTTTTTTACTCATTTAATTTACTGCATTATCTTTTTTATTCGATGCTCTTAACATTCATTGTCAAATCTTTCAAAACATACAATTTTTGCACAAAATTTGTCCTGGGATATTTTTGAGTTTAATCCCTTGAGTAAAATCAAACTTATCTTTGTTTACAGAATTTAATAGTAAACAAATTGGCACGTTCAGTGGGACATTTTTTTATACGAAATTTGTGTTTTATTTCTTTACTCATTCAGACATTTGCCTTAGCAGAGTTCCGCATTCATTAAAATTTCCAATGCCCAGTGTGCATGAGATTGAAAATTGGTAAAATAAGCAATAAGGAAGTTCTTGTTCCAACTAGAAAAATATATGTTATAATGGAAAATCCTAGAAATAACAATACTAATGAAGAACGACAATCCAATTCTACGTCTGGAGGCATGGTCGCTGCATCTTCGACTTGATCAAGCACCTCCACAATAAGTACGACAGATACACATTTGATTGTGCAAGATATGGTAATAATTCCCCCGTCAATAGCGTCAATTATCCTCATATCACCAGGGGTTACACAATCATTGACAAGTGACTTTACACCCTAGAGCCCAAGTCTAACATTGCATATGTTTAATCAAGAACAACCTTATGGTATGCCAACAGAGATGTAGACAAGTTTGCACTTGAATACGTCAACTTTTTCCAATAACAGATTTGTGTTGTCGCCAATTAATTCTTATTTGGCGTTAGGGTCTGCTATAAGCAATCCTAATCGAAACCTACAGTCACAACTAAGGGCTGAATTTGTCCCTCCATTGATGCTACCAGTAACCACAAATTCTATGATGGTTATGAGACAACAAATGGACGAGAGTAACCATTAAATGGTTAACATGCTCACTCGACAAATAGGCATTGTGTTTAACCATTTGATTTAGAATATGAATCATAGTTATCAACAGTTAGCGACTCAAATGTCTCAAATTGCAAATTTCTTTTGTGCTCCTCATGGTCAAACTCGACCTCAGATGGTGAGGCCAAATTAGAATGTCGGAATAATCAATGAGGAAAACATAGTGAACCAAGGTCAACAGTTTATGCCTTAATTTTTTGAACAACAGATACATGTGGGCATCGAACAAAGGAATCCACCAAATTTGTTGATTAATAGAAATCAGGATGCTAGCCAACTAGTTCATCAAGTCCAGCAAGAAAATCCTCCAGGTCAAAATAACCTTGCAGTCATGGTCGAAAGAATAATGACCCATAATGGTTTGAACATAGGCATATATAGGCCTAATTATACTTCCCCCAATGTCAGATTATGTACTAAAAACAGAACTTCCAAGGGGTTGGAAAGTCCCTAAGTTCACCAGATTGGATGGTGACACTAGTGACTCCACAGTCAAACATATCACTTGATATTTGACTAAAGCAAGGGATATGGCAAACAAAGAGAATCTAAGGATGAGATATTTCCCTAATTCTCTCACAAAAAATGCCTTCACATGGTTTACAACACTCCCTACACACTCCATAAATAATTGGACTCAGTTAGTAATATTATTTCATGAATAATTCTACACAGGGCAATCTAAGATTAACCTGAAATAATTGGCAAGTGTGAAGCAAAAAAATTCTGAAACAATCGACGATTACCTCAACAGATTATGACTATTGAAGAAAAGGTCCTTCACCCAAGTTCCGGAACATGAACTAGTCGAGATGGCTATGGGAGGTTTGGATTATTCAATCAGGAAGAAATTGGACACCCAATATATGAGGGATATGGCCCAAATAGCAGATAGAGCTCGACAAGTCAAACGTCTAAAGGCAGAAAAAGCCAAGGCAAATAGAAACAAAAAAGAAAGGTAGCTTATGTCAATGAGAACGAAGTTAACTTGGCTGAGTTAAAGCTAGGACCTTCACATACGTGTAAACTTCTTACACCAGCGAATGTGAAGAACCTTGATGAACCAGAAAAGAATGATAAATTCCTAAAGAAAACTTACACCTTTGACGTAACCAAATATGACGAAATTTCCGACTTGCTGGTTACTGATGGCCAAATTTTGGTGCCACAAGGCGCGAAAATACAGCCATTAGAGGAAAGTAAGAAAAAGGGTTTGCAAATACCATAATTTTTTGGGTCATAAAACTTCTCAATGCTTTCTTTTCAGGGGGATCTTGTCCATAACGCTTTGAATGAAGGAAGTCTGAAATTCACCGACAAAGGAAAGACGCCAATGAAAATTGACTCTGATCTGTTGCAGATTGAAACCAACTATGTTGAACTAGTTAAGATCAATATGGTCGAGGTTACTGAAGACCTTGATATCAATATGTTCGAGGTTACTGAAGACTTCAATATGGAAGTCAAAGCAGAAGTTGGTGAGCATAGTGAGGAGAAAATGAAGGTAGTTTACCCCAGGGCAAAGGAGAAATTGATTGACTTCCTCAACCACTACAAACTCAATAATTCTGAAGTAATATTATGTCCAAGATGCATTGTTGTTTTTGACAAAAAAGCTACTAAGGATTTGGAGAATGCCCAAAATGATAAATAGAAAGGGAAGTGGGTGAATAAAAAACCCCAGTTTTATTTCGACAAAAGAGGCGTGCCCAAAAAAAACAACAGAATATCCCGACTCACATGGGAAACAAACCAAACACCTATGTCCCAAAATACAATGCTCCTCAGGGAAAATGGATGCAACTTGTGAGCAATGAGGAACCTTGCCACCAGAAGTGGAAAAGTTTTGAGATTGGAAGAGATCATTATTGTCATATCGAGAGAAATTCCAAGTGTCAAAACAGTCTTATGGCCATACCAGTTAT